ATAGAGACAAGAGGGGAAACCTGACACTATACAAAAAACTACACAAACACATAGTTACTGTTCTGTTCGGCGGTCCAGAGAGAAAGGACAGATATTAGGAGAGCGTAGTGGAGGTGAGGGCTAACCCCTGAAAAAACTCTCCCTGGAGAGAACTGTATTTACTTCATTGTTATAAAAATTCAATTTCCCCACTCTTAGGCTTTCTTCAGCTAGAAGGCAGGCTGCTCAGAGGTGGGGATCTAAGTAGGGGCGCTCCTGGCTGCTGCCCTCTGACGTGGCATGTATGTTCCAAGCGGGGCCTGGGAATTCAGAGGAAGGACTGAGCACAGCCAGCCGGGGATGCTGGGTCGTGCAAGAAAGGCAGGCCTGTGACGGGCTCAGAGGAGAGTCATTCCAGGCAAAGGGAGCAGCTTGAAGTCTGGAAAACAGTACGTTATTTAGTCTTAGTGGAGCCTGGGAGAGAGAGCTGGGTAGAAAGAGCTAGAAGGATGGGCTCTACGTGCCAGGCGTGTGGGTTTCAGGGAGAGAGTGGTGAACGTGACAGATATAGCCGTAAAGCTTACTGATGAAGAGGGCCAATCAACCAAGTGAGCACCTAAATCCGCAACAAAATGACATCAGATTGTGAAAAGGGCCACGTGGGAACTAAACTCGGAGGTGGTGGAGAGAGTGCGGTGAGCAGAGGGCAGTGGCTCCAGAGGGATGCTCGGGGTGGGCCGGGAGGTGTCCCCCCTCCCCCGGAGGTGATCTGGGGGCAAGAGACCTGAGTGCACCATGAGGCCAGTCACCGGAAAAGATGAGAGAGGTACCAAGCTCGGGCCTTGCAAGTGCGGAGGCAGGAAGTGTCGGAGGGGATTAGGAATAATCCAACAGCTAGAATCCGGGGCAGCAGAGGGCACGGGGTACTGGGTTAGATGGCATCTTTCCTGAAGGCCCTTGAAAGCCGAAACAAAGAGTTGGGATTTTATTCTAAGAGAAAAGGAAGCCACTGAAGGGAATTAAGTGAAAGAGTAGTAGTATTCATTTGTAGAAGCTGTGTGGACAGATTGGAGGGACTCTGGAACCCAACGGTCCGGAGACTCCCGTAGATGAGATAAGGGACGTGGGGTAGTGGGGAGGGGAACGTTGACTGGAGCTGTGTTTCAGAAGTGGAAATGACAAGCCCACTGATGTGACCTGGGGGCTGCAGTGGGACTGAGACCAGCAATAGGAAAAGGGGAGCAAAGTGTGCAAACTGGGTTTCTGGTTTGAGCCAACAGCAGGGAAGTACCATTTTCTGAGCTGGAGAAACTGAAGGCCAAGTGGATTGCGGGGAATCCCACGTGTGGGGTTTGGGCTCAGCCTGTAAGATAGGCTGGTGGTGAGATCAAATAGACAGCGCTCAGAGGAAGGTCTCGGCTCGGCTCGTAACAGAAATGTTGGTGCCGTCAGCTTGCAGGTGTGTGTCTCGCCAGGGCTGTGAATGAGATCAGCTAGGGAGTGAGTGGAGAGAGAGCACAGGACAAGCAGGTTGGAGGCTGAGAAGCTAGCATCTTGGGGCTGGGCTGAGGGGCTTGAGGAGAGATGCATGGGGCGGGAGGTACAGCAGAGAAGTGTTGGTCCAGATGTGGATCCAGATGCAGCCAGTGCTGGTTGTCCCGAAGCTGCCAGGAAGCCCAGTAAGATGAGAGAGTGTAGCCTTCCTCGGATTTGCCAGCGTGGACATCTTTGGTGACTTTGGTGTATGGTGGGTGTGGAAGCCAGGGGAGCATGGGCTGAAAAACGAACTTACAGTGATGTGTGTATAGTTCTCGAAAGATTTTGCTATGAAGGAAAACTAAGGAATTGGGATAGTAGCTGGGGGGTCATGAGGGCAAGGGATGTTTTCTATTTTTAAGTTAGGGAACACTAAAGTATGTTTATCTGTGGGTGGGAATGATCCAACAGAGATGGGGCGGTTGGTAATTAACGCAGGTGAGAGAAGCCTGCGTGGGAGCAAAGCCTGGAGCAGGTGAGGGGGGTGGGTGCCGGGTTTTTGGCTGCTCTAACAAACTACCATGAACCTGGGGGCATAAAACAACACACGCTTCTCCTCTTACAGCCTGGAGGTCAGAAGTCCAAATCAGTGTCACTGGACTAGAGTCAAATTGTCAGTAGGGCCAAAGGTCGCTCTGGAGGCTCCAGGGGACAATCTGTTTCTTGCTTTTTCCGGCTTCTAGAGCTGATTCCTTCGTTCATTGCCGCTCCCTCCATCTTCAAAGCCATCATGGGAGGGTCTTCGAATCTGTTTCTGCTCTGGTCACATCATCTACTCCTCTGTCTTCAAATCTGTCTCTGCTCTGGTCAAATTTCCCTCTGCCTCTCTCCTGTGATTACATTTAGGGCCAACGTAGGTATTCCAGAATAACCTCCCCACCTCAAGACCCTTATTAATTACACCTGCAAAGTCTCATTTGTCCTCTCAGCCAACATGGATAGGCTGCGGAGCGCTGCGGAGGACCGGCCTTGGCTCGGAGCGGGGAGACTTCCTTCCTTCTTGTAACTAGAGGGAAAAAGGGAAAGGGACCCCTGCAGGGCTGTGTAGATTTGGTGGCTCAAAGATGAGGGAGTTCCTGCTTTTGGCTTCAATTTTCTGCAAGAAGTATTGACGGCTGAGAGGAATGGCGACTGAAGGAGGGCGGACAGGGGAGCGGAGGGGGTAGAGTATTGCACGGAGTGGGAAACTTAACCACCTCTCAGGCTTGGCCAGGGTCCCTGGGAGAGAGCCTGGCCAGGTGTTAAGTATAGGACGAGAATCTAGGGGATCTAATCAGGAGGCGGGGAAAACAAAGCAGCCGGGTGGCTTCTCAGGAGGCTGTGAGCAGGAGGGGGGCGGGATCGAGAACGAGGGGACACTGAGTGAGAGAACTGTAAGTACCAGAGGGGTTGGGCAGAGAGGGATATCGCTAATGTAGATTTTGGAGACAGGTGCAGATTTAGGTGATGACAAGTTCTGGGGTTTCGCTTGGGGAGGGAGTCACGGGGGGACAGAGAGATGGGTCATCCACCTGGATGCTGAAGAAAACAGAGTGGGAAACAACCACCTCTCAGGCCTGATGAGAGCCCCTGGCCAGGTGTTAAGTATAGGGTGAGATGGGTCATCCACCTGGTTGCCGGGAATGAAAACAGGATAGAGGTGGCCAGGAATACTGTGAGACAGGAGCCAAAATCTTCACGGTGGGGAGCGACCCGGAAGAAGTGAGATGCTAGAAGTGGGCGGGTGACCGGAACCGGAAGAGTGGTAGGTACCCTGTTCAATAGCATCCGTGGAAAGGGAGCTGGTGGTTTGCTGGAGGAAGGAGGAGAAAGGGTGTGGAAGGAGCAATGCAAGAAAGGAAGCCCAGCTTTTCTTCCCAACTCAGAGGAGTCAAGGTGTGAAAGACAAACCTCTAACACTTGAGAGGGCTCCCGTGTTTCCAAGTTTGCATTAAGGAAAGTAGCTGATACTCTTAAGAATGTGTGCTAATGCTTTGGTGGAAGAGTTGGGAGGTCTGAGGTTGGAGGCACATTGGGATGGGAGTCTGGCTAATACTGGATTTTTGGAGAGGATCCCTGGGCTTCCAGTGGTGAGTTTCACAGGACAGAGCACGTGGAATCACGTAGCTAAGGGCCTTGAGCGGCAGTCTGAAAACTGTGTTTTACCCTGTAGATGGGGGCTGGGGGAGGGTGTTCACAGCGAACTATCATGGTCAAAGGCAGGCTTTGGGAAAGTTAACTTTCCAGCCTCGTGAATGAAAGAGGCCCTTAGACGGCTACTGCACAGGCCAGGATTAAGGTCTGATCAGGGTATGAGCACTGAGAATGGTGGAAAGAAATGGTATTTGGCAAGAAATGTGGTTGGCTTGAATTATCAGAGATAGGGGAAAGGAGGGAGTAATTGGGAGATGATTCCCATGTGTTGAGTGTAACTGGTTAGGAGAATCTTTTCTGAGGGGAAATTGATGACTTGGTATTTGGCAAACCTTGGTTAAAGGGTGCGTAGTGGCTGGAGCAGTGTAATGACAGGTGAATCACTGGGCGCTTCCCCTGCTGTGTCAGCAGTCACTGCCTGGAGTTTCCCAGACTGAGGATAAATCAAGGCCAAGCAGGATCCCAGGAAGCAACCCAATGAGTCTCCTGATTTAGCTTCTGATCCCTAGGGCGGGGCCTAACCTTCAACTACCACGTGCAATCAGGTGTGCGCCTGCAGATGTGAATTGTGAGGTGCCCGATTCACATGATTCACACCTGGGGAAGCCTCGCAGTCTCCACGGGAGGCAGTGCAGCAAGAGTAGGCGTGTCTTTATAGCCTTGATGCAGTTGGGGAGTTAGGGCGCCATAGGACGCCAGCCAGGCGTTTTTGGAGGAGGAGCCCTGCGGGATTAGTGTCTAAAAGGACGCTTGGAGCTTTTCTCCTTCTCACCCTCAAGGTAAGGCAGGACAGGGCACACCCGCACGGGTTTCTCTTGTTAAGCGTGTTTTCATCAGTCTCTGAGCTCAGGCCCAGAATCACAGTTGAGGTCCAGCCAAGAATTTGACTCATTCAGGTGTAAACCCCGCCAATTCTGCTCAGTTTCCTGAATTCTGCTGACAGCAGCTCTTTCTTCCTTTTGCCTGAAATCCTGGGGTCTTTGTGTACGTTGAGATGAACCGAGGCTGACATCCCCCTCTGTGGCCTCCCGGCGCTCCAACACCCAGCCCCGCTCCAGGCCAGAGCGGGCAGAGCCTGGGTTTGGGGAGGCGCAGCGCCCTGCGGGAGTAACCCAAGCCGTCCCAGGAAGTGCTGGAGGCCCGGCACGGAAGGCTGTCGGGGCCCCGGACCCCCTCCTTCCGCGGGCTCCCGGCCAGGCTCTCCGAGCGCGCGCGGACCCAGCCTCCGCCGGGGAGCGGGCGCGCGCCGGGCGGGGCGGGGCGCGGGCGGGGCCTCTCCGGGCCGGGGGGCGGGGGGCGGGGGGCGCGGAGGGAACCTGCCGCCGCGGCGAGAGCGCGCCCAGCCAGCCGTGATGTCCGCGCGCGCCGGAGGCTTCCTCCCGCCGCGGCCCCGGGCCCTGGCGCCGGCCGCGCCTCTGCTGCTGTTGCTGCTGTTGCTGCTGCTGCTGGACGCCGGCGGCGGGCGCTGGGGCGCCTGGGCCCAGGAGCCGGGGGCGGCGGCGGCGGACGGGTCCCCCGCGGCCGACGGCGGGGACGGGCAGGACCCGCACGCCAAGCACCTGTACACGGCCGACATGTTCACGCACGGCATCCAGAGCGCCGCGCACTTCGTCATGTTCTTCGCGCCCTGGTAACTGGCCGCACCGCCCGCCTCGGGCTCCGCGGGTGCGGGGCTGGCCCGGGCCCGCAGTATGCGCGCGGAGGGCGCGGGGCCGCGGCCTGGGGCGCCCGGCGAGGGGCTGAGGGTCTTCCGGGCCGGGGGGCGGCACGCGCCGGGCGCTCGCGGCTGACGTGGCGCTAGGGCCGGGGTGGAGCAGGAGGGGGCGGTCCCCGAGGGCAGAGCCGGAAAAGGCCGCCGCTCCGGCTCCTGCGCCCCCTCCCCCGATCCCCGCACTGGGGGAGGGGAAGGGGTCGTCGCCCTTCGGGGCCGCTGGGAGCTCAGAGCCCGTCCGCCCCCTGGCCCCAAACTTCTGCGCCGGCCAGAGGCAGCGGCCTGCGGTGCGCCGGGACCCGGAGGCCACGTGCGGTCGCCCCGGCGACCAGGCGCCCGGCGTGCACACTTGGACTTTGGAGGCGGTTCGCTCGCTGCACAGCAGACCTCCGGCCTGCCGGGTTAATTGAAACACAGGGACTCACAAGGCGTGATTTCCCACCCTGCGGGAAGGGGTGGCCCAGGCAGAAGAGGGTTCCTGCGCTCCCCCGGGGGGTGGAGAGCAGTGCGGGTTCTGGGGGCCCGTCCGCAGCCCTGGGGCGGTGGGGAGCTGTGCTCGCGGTGATGGGAGCCACTGGCCCCGGACCCAAGGCCGACCTCTGGCACCTGCTCCTCTCTGCTCTCTTGGGGCCTGGTCGTCTGCAAAGTGTAAGATGGGAAAAGTTATTACTACGTTGAGCAGATGGTCCCCCTCGCCGTGGTTCTCGGGGGGCGGGGGGCTTTGGTGTGGCCTCGGTGCCGAACCCAGAGACGCCTGCCCTGTGGGTTGTCCTACAGAAAGCCTTCCCGTCATTCGCACGAGCACAGGGACTGAGTGCCTTCCTCCTAGGGCCTAGATGCCCGCTGAAGGGGGTCCTCCGTGGGCGGAGCAGCCAGCCAGTCTTCGGGCCCAAGGCCCTTTGCAGGCTTTACTGCAGAATTTGGCATTCGCCCCCAGAGCGGCGGAGGCTCCTTGAGATGTGGGAAGGGGATGCGGGAAGGAATAGGGAGAAGATGCCCAAGAAAAACGGCCTGTTCAGAAAATGTGCTGGTGGAAGTTGAAGGAAACTTTTTCTCTTCCTCTCTCCATGTTCAGATGATGACTGTATGTCAGTACATTTGGAGTTAAAGCAGCACTTTTGGTCTGGGTCAGAGCTGTCCCATAGATACATTGTGTTTCCAGTTCCCAAGAACCAAGAGTTGAATTTGCAGAACTACCAGTGGTATAGAAAATACTTTGTAGTGTAACATAATGGACATCGATATTTACTTTGTGAAGGGTATTATTCTCAGAGTAGCTATTCCAATTAAATACACTACTTAAGTGAAGCCTATTTTTGTGGAATAAATCTGCCCATGGATTTTTTCCCCTTATATTTTAAAGAAAAACTGACATGTAGACATCGTAGGTCCGTTCAGTGCCAGTGGAGTTTTAATTTTGGAGTCTCTAATACTCACCAGCTAGTCTTGGGCTGAGTGAGGGACAGGACCGGGCACTTGGTATTAAGTACCTTCCTTAAAGTAATGTAATGTTTCATTGTGTGTGGCTTATAGACTTTTAGGTGGATGCTCCCAGAAAAAGTAACTTTTAAAGTTTTTGTTTGCTTCCTAATAGTCTACTGTGAAATGTTTAAATAGAGATGTGTGGGTTTCTGTGACAACATTTAAAAGTTAGACTTTAAGAGCAGATTGGAGCTCAGATGGAATACGCTGTGGGCTGCCCCTCCTCTTTCCATTTCAGTTTCTGGAATGTTGGGAGCCCACGTGTGATTTGGGGGCAGGAGCTAATAAAAACATCGATCCGTGTGTATTTGCTCTGAACTGGGTAGAGGCAGGGCTGTCCTACTGCTGTAGATCTTGTGCCAGCGTCAGGTCATAGCTTCTCTATGGCCAGTTTTCAGGTCACATTGAATCTGGTGACAGTGAGGTCAAGGTTGGAGCCGCCTCCTCAAAAGAACCAGGTGGCTTTGCTCTGTTACGTGACCACAAACTGCCTCTGAATGCAGCTGCTGTCTCAGAGGTTCGTGCTGTAGCCCCAGGGGTCCAAACCCAGAAGTGCCAACTGCACGGCACCCATGGATCCATCACTAAGAGATTGCCAAGCACTTAGTACGTGCCAGACACTGGGGATCCAGTTGTAGAAAGGATGATGCTTGTCTCTTGTACCATGTATACTTAAATCTAGCAGGGGTTTCCCCTCACAATTGTCTTCCAGAAAAGAGGGATTCATATTGTATTTGGACCTCTTATAAAGCAGGATTCTCTTCTCTGGCCAAGAAAGTGCTTAGGGAAGACAGGTTAGCTTGAAGCAGAATTTTCCAGTCCTTCCTTTAGGTGCTTCCTGGTGAGGTCATCTGTCAGAAAAGAAAAGAGGCAAGGAGATTTAACACTGATTTTATTGAGAAATTATTTTGAGGATGAACTCAGTTATTAAGTGTTGGGTGTTCTTACCACGCTTTAGAAAGCAATACAGCAAGTAGTTACATCGTAGACATCATGAATACACACTTACCAGGTGAGCGGGGGAAAACCCCCCACATGCCGTAATGTTTGTGTATAGTTGAATTCATACAATCGGTTTTATAAGTGTATGTTTGAGTATATCAAATTGAGAAGTTTGGGGTGGCCACAGGCTTTTTGTATGCTTCTCACTGGAGAGAATGCAGAGCTGGTTTCATTTCGAGGCTGCCTTGCATTTGGGGAGACTCGGTTACGTGGTAGAGGAGACCTGACCGTAAAGGAGCCATGGCGAGGGGAAGTGCTGAGCCACTGCCACAGGCGGAGCGAGGGAGCGCTCCAGAGGAGGGGGAGAAGACAGCGGGCCCCAGACAGCCTGGGAGTCACTTCCTGGAGGAAGTGACGGCCAAACTGAACAAATAGGAATGAGCCAGGTGCGTTTAGGGAGGAAGTGTCGGAGAGAAGAGCGTGCTGATTCCCAGGGCCCGGCCAAGCTACAGCCCTTTCAGGAACCTGGAAACTCAGCAGCGTGGCCCAGTGGTGGGCAGCCAGGGAAGAAGGGCAGTGTGCATAGAGGTCAGGTGGGAGGTCAGCAGGGGCCAGATCCCGGGGAGCGGGCACAGCGCCTGGCTAAGTTTTGATTTCACGCTGAGAGCGATGCGGGGTCTCTCCGGAGGGTTTTAGCAAGAGAGCAGGGTTCTGCAGACACTGAGCTGTCCGGCTCCACTGCAGTGTGAAGAAGGGGCTGGATCAGAGAGCCCCGCTGCCCTAGGAAATGGCTGAGCGGGTGGGTCAGGCACCCTCTGACCCCGGCGCTCGGCATGCTTGTCACTGTCACCTTGCTACAGGTGTGGACACTGCCAGCGGCTACAGCCTACCTGGAACGACCTGGGAGACAAGTACAACAGCATGGAGGACGCCAAGGTGTACGTGGCCAAGGTCGACTGCACGGCCGACTCGGATGTGTGCTCCGCCCAGGGCGTGCGTGGGTACCCAACGTAAGTGACGGGCGCTCGCGTCCTGTATCCACCGGGTCTTCCTCGGCTTTTTGCCAGCCGCATTCGGCCAAGAAAGTTCAAGTTAAACTTTTGGCACCTTCTTTGTAGTTCTGAGGAGTGAGGGGATGCGGGCTTTAAGCAGGCACTCCCTGTTGTTAGGGAAAGGTTATATTTACACCGTGTGTGTATCAGGTGCCTTTTTTCACTTTGTTTGGGAAAAGCCTTTAACTAGTCAGTTGAGTTTTCCTGTTTATAAAAGAACGTGTCTGCCAGACAAAAATGGCATTCTCCATGAGGTCCTGTCACATTTGACGTTCACACGTACGTTTACACGATGAGCACCGACTGTCATGAATTTTCGTCTGAATTTGTGGTCACTGTGTTAATTCTTAAGCCTCCTTTCTAGAGTTATTTCCCACGTGACTGGCCCATGGGCTGTTTTTGTTGGAAAGAAAGTGCAGCTGTTCTGACAAGTGATACTTGCTGCCTACTTCCTTGACAGTTAAAATAGTTTTTTGGTTTTAAGAACAGAAATTGAAACTGGCTTAATGAACAAAAGAGGGAATTGATTTGAAGGCTGTGGGGGAAGGCCTCTGAGACTCAGCTCCATGCGTTTGGAGGTCTGTTTTTCTGCCCTCCCACCCCTTAAGGTGACTTAACTCCCCGCCCTGCATCTCTCTGTGGCCATGGCGGACTTGGGCCCGTCGCCGATTGGCCCAGCTTGGATGGAGTGTTCATTCCAGAAACCATCTTTGTGACCCGAGAGGCAGGATCTTGTCGGAAGACGACAGCCCCGTTCAGACTCAGCATTTACTGGTGGAGTGAAGAGCGCTTCTCCAAAAAAGGGAAGTTGCTGTTTCCAGAAGGATGGGGGAGGGGTTGGGCACTGCAGGTCCCCAAATATTTGTTCAGATTGACAAATGAAGTCAATCCTTTGGGAAACCCGAGCTGATCTTCACGCTTGAGAGGCCACATGGAAAATGGCAGGAGCTCTGGGCTGGAACCTGGATGCCACGGTTTGGACCCCAGCTCTACCGTGTACTTATCCTGCAGCTCTGGTCACGCACGTTCCTCAGCCTCTGAGTCTGAAGTAGGATGCTGACACCCACCCCCCCATAACATTGTTGGGTGTAATAACGTGTGTGTAGATACCGATCTGAACATACCCAATAATGTTAAGGTTTCCTCTAACCCTTGGAGATTTGGCATTTCCATAAAGGGCTCTGGAACTCTTGGTCTTTGGTGACTGTTTGCTAATGTGAGTGCAGTAACTCAAGTGTACATCAAATCAGAGCAATAGAGACAAAACTTCCTGCTGTATGTACCTACGTGTTGGCATCACTGTCCCATGCTCCACTGCGTTGCCTTTAAAGTAAACTCTGCTTGTATGAAGAGCATCCCAAAGCAGCAGCCAGTGAGAAGTGGGACCAGTTAGCTGTTGACAGCCTGTTACTTTCAAGGTGCAGGAGCAACAGAGATGGGTGGCCATGGTGTCCACTCTGAAACGGCTGGCTGTGTGTGGCCCTGTGGCTCTGTGCACCGTAAACCACGCCATAGGGAAGGTGAAACAGGACCAGTCATAGGGCTGAGAAGGCAAATGTCAGGGACAGAGTAGAGGGTTCCACCTGCACCCAGTCATACGAGCTCTCTGGCTGCAACATCAGTTACTGCACGGATGCTATTCACAGACTCTGAAAGATCCGTGTTGGATCAGGTGTCCTGATTTGTTTTTTAGAAGATATGGTCCCCCCAAGAAAACCATGCACCGGTTTTGTGTTGTTAAAAATAACTATACAGTACAATGAGCTCCCACTATGTGGTTTGGGAAGGAACCTCGTGACCGTCACAGCCCGAGAACAGATTTTTTTCACAGAATGCAGGAGGTAGGGGCATGCTGCATAAAATGTAGTGGCCTTAGGGCATTCATAGAGGAACCTGTGTGAGCTTTTACTTCTAGGGATGTTTCGAGGCCTGGATCAGCTGATGACGTAAATGCTGAGGCGGGTTGCGGAGCGGGGTGTCAGCACATTAGCTTTTAGGTCATCCCTCCCCTTTCACCTTTAACTGGAGTAAAGGATTGGAGAGGGAGGGAGTTTGGGTTCCCAGGTCCCTGGAGAAGGCTGCCTACGCTCGGGAAGATGTTTTGAGGTCTTGCTGTTGAGCCAGTAAAGAATCTTTATCACCTGGGAAAATGCTGGCAGGGTCAGGGCTGAAGGAGGTTCCCTAGGGCTGCTATGCAGAGTGCCACTGAAAAGAATAGAAACGTATTCTCTCACAGTTCTGGAGGCCAGAAGCCCGAGATCAAGGCATCGGCAGTGCCGTGCTGCCTCTGAAACCTGTCAGGGGTCCTTCCCTGCCTCTTCTGGCCCCGGGTGGTTGGAGGGCAGCCGTCGGTGTTCCTTGCCCTGCAGAAGCATCACCCCAGTCCTGCTCCTGGACTTGGCCGCCTGCTGTTTGCTTGTCTCTCTCTGTGTCTGAATCTCCCCTTTCTCTACGTACTGTATTAGGGCCCACCTTCACGACCGCATGTTAACTTGATTGCCTCTATGCAAATCCTATTTCCAAATCGGGTCACATTCCATGGTAGCGCGGGTTAGGACTTCAGCAGATCTTTTTGGGGACACAGTTCGACCCATAACACCATCTCATCTGTAGTAGTAGAACTTCCATCGTGCTGTTTTCCAGAGGGACCCAGCAATGGGGATCTTTTCCCCTGCAGTCTCCTTGACTGAGGAACAGATCTCCAGGAAAACAAGTGCCCATGTGGAGGTTTGGTAACAGCAGAAGAGTTTGGGGCTATACTTGGGGCATGAACCCCGTGGCCCGCTCTGCATTGCTGCCCTCACCTCCATGTACAGTGGGAATGAAGTCAGATGCCCCGTGAGGGAAGCTGTGCCCTCCCTAGGCTCTGTGAACTCAACCAGAATCTCTGACTCGAGCTGGTTAGGAAGATTTTTAATCCAACAACAGGAAGAGATTTTAAAAACTAGTTTTGCTTCGCTCGGTGTACACCAAATGAGGGAAAAGTCACAGATTAGGTTTTACTTTAGCAAAGGAATGGAGGATGGGTTCAACAACGCCTGCTCTGATTTCTGATTGTTTTAAATTCTTATATAGTTTTATTGTTACAATTAATATTTAAGTCTTCAGATTTTTTCCTTTTTTTTAACATCTTTATTGGTGTATAATTGCTTTACAATGGTGTGTTAGTTTCTGCTGTACAACAGATTGAATCAACTATATGTATACATACATCCCCATATCTCCTCCCTCTTGCGTCTCCCTCCCACCCTCCCTATCCCACCCCTCTAGGTGGTCACAAAGCACCGAGCTGATCTCCCTGTGCTATGCGGCGGCTTCCCACTGGCTATCGATTTTATGTTTGGTGGTGTATAGATGTCAGTGCCACTCTCTCACTTCATCCCAGCTTCCCCTTCCCCGCCCCCCATGCCCTCAAGTCCATTCTCTACGTCTGCGTCTTTATTCCTTTCTGATGTCTTGAGGATCCACTTGTTTCCATCCTGAAGCACTTTGGTGAAGGGAGGTACTGGGGAGAGAGGGAGGGAGTGGAGAGGCACAGTAGCCAAGTCTGGTCCTTTGTGGGCACAGCTTACGTTTCCAGAGCATCTCAAGGTGGTGGATGCGGGTGTTCACAGTCTGAGAGCCTGCTTTGGAGTCACTTGAAATGTTAAACTTCGTGAAGGAAGGGACATACTGGCTGAATCGAGTTAGATTGTGTCTTTTTGTCATGGCTATATGAGTATAAGCTGCTAGGGAAGGGGACATATATTCTTCACTGGAGACACATTGGCATGTCCTCTAGCCCATCACAGGATCTGAGCTTCTGGGTGAGGCCAGTAAGCCCATTTTCACCTGAGTGCCTTCTACAGCCAGTGTGTTGGTTTTCTTGTTTGGTGTGAAACTTCATTTTAAGACCTTTGTGGGGCTAGCTATCCAAGCCCAGTTTGATTTCTGCGTATCTTAACCTCTCGCACTCTGACACTCTGCATTGGGCATCTCCTAACAAAACCCACGTACGTGCCAGGAAGCGTTAGGGGTGTTTTAGATGAGTAGGCTTGCCCCTGAATGCTAGCCTGTGTTTGTTTCCTGTCAGTAGCCATATTTCCCCCTCCATCCTGCCACCCTCTATTAATCCTGTCAATAGCAGAATTATTCCCTCCCCTCCCCACCTTCCTTGACGCCTTCTGTTAAGTTTTATCTGGACTGTGTTGTCCCGTCACCAGTGGAGTGACACAGGGTCTGGACGTGTTCATCTCGGCCTCTGGTGATGTCTTTGCTCCCCTCCAAAGGCAGAGCTCCTTGCTCTGTCTGCAGATACCTAGTGTGTGTGTAAAATAGAAAAGATTCCTTCTCTGGGGGCAAGTGAATGGGCCATATCAACCAATGTCAAGGTTGTCCTTATAGTTGGAAAGTTGAACTCTCACAGTAGCTGGATATTCATGCGTTTTAAGAGTTGAATTGCTGACAGTGTATCCTGGAAATACATTTACTGCAGAACAATGCTATTTCTACTACAGCTGTAAATTTTTTTTCAAAATGCGGAACATAAAAACTACTGAAGCTGGGGAAGGATAACAGATACGGGGCAGGGGAAAGCTAGAGCGTTCTGCACACCTGAACCCTCGTAGCTTGGGGTTTAACTTACGGCCTGATGTGTTCACCCCGTTTTTTTTTTCAAGAATAACATAAGAAACTTTTAAAAGTTCAGGATTAAGTGAATATGTTATCGCCTAGAACATTACTTTTTCTTTTCCAAGTATTATCAGAGAGGGGAAGGGGTGTGCTGGCTGCAGCCCGCCGACACCTCATTTTTATGATTGTTCCGCTAACCGAGTTTGCTCTCTGCTCAGAGTGGTTTGAAGGGCTTTAAAATCTACTGCAACTAATCCTCTGTTACTCTTTCAGCTTGAAGTTTTTCAAGCCTGGCCAAGAAGCTGTGAAGTACCAGGGTCCCCGGGATTTTCAGGCCCTGGAAAACTGGATGCTGCAGACACTGAACGAGGAAACCCCCGTGAGTGCACACGAAGCCGCCCCCTCTTTCTTCCTACATTTCTGGGGTAGTCAAGAGGCCAGTTTAAGTACCATCTTTTTTTTTTTTTTTTTTTTTTTTTTTTT